TGCGCCCACCTGAAACTCTGCGGGGGCCCAGGAACTTCCCACACGGCGGGGACAAGGGACCGCGCGCGGTAACGGAGATGTCGGCGGCGGGAGTGCGCTCCTGGGTCCCAGGCGCCCCTCAGGCACCGCCTCGCAGCAGCGCCCTCTGTCGGCGGCTCTGGGTACGGCCGCATCTGTAGGCTTGTTTTCGGTGTAGGTGTTCACGCTCGCGTTTACTTGCCGTTCGTGTGCAGACGGGGAGGCATGGAGGGGGGTGTCTGATCCTGTGTTCACCTTTCACCCCTCTTAACAATGTTAAATTCCGCTAGGAATTTCTAGCTAATTCTGCTAATTCTGTGCATTAGTATAGAGCTCCTAGGGCCATAGTTTTGTGTGCAAATGAGTGTGAGGTTATCTGGGTGCCCAAGCGGATGTGCCTTGAGTGGGTCATGGTTGTCTATATGCCTGACTGTGGATATTTCACTTTCTGCCCCCACCTGTCCGTGATCAAGCACCTATGAGCATGGGCTGTGCCCCTACATATTTGTGTCTTATTGGTAATACACACATTTTTATCATCTTCCCAGGACTGTGTCTGTATGAATGTGCAAGGGTGTATGTGGTGCATGAAGCACCGTGGGTGATCAATGGGATGTTTCTGAAATCCAGATGTTAAAGGAATAATGTAGTGGAGGGGGGCCCCAACCATACTAAATCCTTTGCCATTCATCTCATTTTCTTTGACTTTAGGAGAACCATAGAGTTTGCTTTTGGACCCTCTAGCGTACAATTGCTTGATCTTGACCTGAACCTGGCCTCCTGTGTGTCTCCTTGGCCTTCCTTCTCCCGTCTGTGCCGCCCAGGGTGGCTGCCTGCTGCAGGCTCTAAACACATTGGCTATGATGTTAATCCAAAAAAATGAGCAGCGCATCTCCTTCCTTTTTCCCCACCCAAAATTTATTTCCTCTTAGTTCATTACCTGGGATTTTGATGCCTGTGTTCCCTCAGCATTATTGATACACATGGGGGAAAAAAAAAGGAACTTCTTGAAATTCCCCTAGAAGGTTTTGAGACTTGTTTTCAGTGTTGCAACTTGAACAAGTCAGTTTCTAGTTGAAGTTTCCATCAGAAAGCTTGGTAGGAGTCCGGTATATAAGCTCCAGTAGCAATAGCAGAAGAAACAACGGTTTCAGACCCAGTGAACGCTGCGGCCGGGCCAGAAGCAAGGTAAGCACATCCTTAGCCCCTGCCAGCCCTCGGCAGGCCTGCAGGCTCGCGGGGTAGAGGGGCAGAGTCTTCTGAGCGCTCCCCGCGCCTGGCATGGTGGAGTGGGTGGATTTCTGGAGGCATTCCTGGTGACTTACCTGCTGGGACATGAGCCAAAAGTCAGTCCTTTGGGAACTGATGTTGAAAGTATTCCTTTTAAAAGTCAAATAATAATAATTGTACACCGAGTTCTGTGAATGAAGGCACATTTTATAAGAAAGGTTTGTTTTGTCTTGTTTGAAAGCGGTACGTACATAAAAGTATGTTCCTCAATATTAATGCCCATCGGTTAAATTGTACGACGTGAGTGGTGCTTCCCTGAGTACTGTCAACTTTTTTCAAAGCTGTTCACTCATTAAGTCAGAATGAATTCAATAAACAATTGAATTATACTTACACCTCATAATTGAAAGGTGCAGAGCATCCTTGCTCCCATGTTTATGTTGGGTTCAATAGTCAGTTGGGATAATCAACCAGAGTGACAGCTGGGTTATCCAGATTTTTTGGATTAGCTAATTTTGGTGTTACTTTAAAAATAAAAAGCAACTGCAGTGTTTAAAAGTACTTTCTGAAGGGTTTTTAAATCTGTGAGGAGGAAAAAGATGATTACACTGCATTGGGGCCTTATAGTTGCCCAGATACATTGTCTGCAATAATTTTCACATTAAAAAAAATAATGATCAGGTTAAAATATTTTAACCAAGAGATTACAAAACCCCAGCTGATGGCCCACTTTTCTCAAGTAAGGAATTTCAAGATATTAGAAAGAATTTGGACAACCTCTTACTGTTCATTTTACTGGGATCTGAGATTTTATGGTTTCTGTACATTCATTCATTCATTCTTCTAATAATTAATGAAATCCCTCTATGCTAGAATACTGATGCTAAACTCTGGGGGGTATAGTGTGGAATAAGAAAGACATGATCCCTGCCATCAGAGAGTTCAGTGTGGCAAGGAAGACTAACTTAAAGAAGTAACTATATTATATTGCTCTGTGTGTGTGTGTGTGTTGCAGTTGTAGTAAGTGCTATGAATGGGACTCAGGAAGAGCAAGTAGCCAAGAGTCCTGACTTCCTCTGGGCACCCTGCTGGATACTTTACCTGAATTCTTTCACTGACTCCTCACCACAACAGGATGCCCATTTCACAGATTGAGTGTGAGGCTTAAAGAAATCAAGTGACTTGCCTAGAGTCACACAACTGATCAGTGGCAGAGCTGGGGCCCTTTGAATGTGCTACCCATGCCTGGTGTGACTATGTCTTTTTATTTTAAAAAATAATTTTTTAAATTAAAAAGTAACAAACGAGATAAAACTTGGAAAAGAAATGCCCCTCAAGTGTCATGGGCATGTGTTGGCACCAGCATTAGGGAGTGTAACCAGAGCACAGGACCTGGGGTCCCTGTGTTCCATATACAAGGATTTCAAGCATTTAGAAAACCTACAAAATTACATGGAAAAACTGTTTAATCCTCAAGACTCTCCAACTTAGTGTGCCGAGGAAATGTGGGCTGTGGAGTATAGCTCTCCGGTATGCACTGATCTGGAGAGCAACAGGGTAACTCCATGCTGCCCCCTTTTTGGATTCCCTGGGTTGGATTAAGGGAGTGACCCACCACCCTCTCCACCCCCAGCCAGGGTTCCATGGTTTACAATGTGGGTGTTACTAAAATGCAAGTTGTTTCTTAGAATCGTCACCAGGGGGAAGCTTGGGTGGCTCAGTCGTTAAGCGTCTGCCTTTGGCTCAGGTCATGATCCCAGGGTCCTGGCATCGGGTCCCGCATCGGGTCCCGCATCGGGTCCGCATCCGGCTCCCTGCTCGGCGGGAAGCCTGCTTCTCCCTCTCCCACTCCCTCTGCTTGTGTTCCCTCTCTCCCTGTCTCTCTGTCAAAAAAAAAAAGAATCGTCACCAGGGCTCCCTTGACCCTGAAGTGCAGGTCACCTGAAATTCTCAAACACATCTAAGGCCCCAGGAGGAAGTGCTAGACACAGAGGCAAAGGGAAAACCCCAGCCTTAGGATAGAGCAAAAGAATCACCAGGAGATGCCAGGAATCTCTGTTATTTCCCTTCCCAGAGTGCCGGCAGCTGGGCTCTACAAGCCTGTGTGATTGCAATACCTCTAGGGCATTTCCCTACAGCTTGGCACTTTTTGGTCTAGCCTTGTATACAAAACAAACGTTATCAAATTTTTCTCTATCTCTTCCCCTTGGTGCAAGCTGACCTGTTATTGTTTGCCTTCTACAAGATGTCATCTCATTGCATTGTCTCAACAACCCTCTGAGATGGGTATCACGTCCATTTTATAGATGAGGAGACTGAGGCTCAGAGATCATTTGAGCAACATCACACAGCTAGCGAGTGGAGGAACCAGGTTCAAGCCCACGTCGGCCTGACTCTCTGAGCCTGTGAATGTCCTAACTGATGCCCTGTGGCAACCAGTCTTTTGCCACAGTCGTAACCTGGACAAATTAATAGACGTGCCTGTGGAAGCGGCAGGGACAGAGCGCTGACTCGACAGGAAGGCCAGATCTAGTCCTGTCTCTGCCACTCACAGCCTTTGTAATCTAAGGGAGTAAAGTGTGGGGCAAGGTTCTCCTAGGTTAGCAGTGGTCCTAACAAAGCCGTGATTTGTCAATATTCAGTCACCCCAGCCAAGGGATGCTCATTTTTAAGGTATTGACCAAAAATTTTGAGTCTTATTCTTCGTATGATTTACTCAGTGGTCTCTGAGCATATGTTCCTGCTCAGAGAATGCTGGTGCTCTCTGAGATGGATGGAGGTGTTTCAGAATGAAATTAAATAATAATCTTCTCTATCTAATTCAGAAGTAGGGTACAATTTTCACATTCTAAATATTTGCACAAACCCTGGACACTAATCTAGATTGAGTTTTACTATAAGATGGTGGCTGATTGGGCACAAAATGAGGCATTTCACTTTTCATAGTGGGTATATCAGTATTTCATGGTCTTCTCCCATAGAACATCTTGATTTTCAGAGCTGTGGGCCCCGAACATGGGTGAAACCAAAGGTTCTCAAAGTGTGGTCCTTGGACCAGCAACATCAGCTTCACCTGGAAACTTCTAAGAAATGCAGATTCTGAGGCCCCACCTCCCACCACCCCCAGACTCAGCCATCTGTGTTTTAACAAGGCTTCCAGGTTACACTGATATGCGCTCAAGTTTGAGAATCACTGGTTTCGTCGTGTAGGAACAAGTAACCTTTGAGTTTTGAGCAATTATCGTCTAAACACGGAGAGAAACTCAACCTGGCTACCAGATCGTTGCCATAATTTGGAAGATCGCCTTTGCTTATCCCCCACCCCAGCATCACCCCAAGTCCTTTACCCCAGGTGTCACTGGACATACCACCTTGGGTACAGTGATACGAGGTATAGCTTGTCTCTCCAACTGGAGGGTAGGCACTTAACACACGGACTTCATAAATATTTGTTGAATGAAAGTGTTTGCCCCTAGAAGGCAGAATCCAGGCCCAAATCCTTTTTTTAACTCCCAGTGACTCTAGCCCAGAGCCCTTTACCTAGTAAGTACCAAGTATATCACTGCTGAATGTTGATCCAGACAAGTCATGCTCTTTCTCTGAGTCCTGGGTTTCTCAGCTTAAAAATAAGAGGATTCTATCAGAGGGCTGGTCTCCTTCAGCTCCAGATAGTCTGTGGTTCTCTCTTTGGAGATGTTCTTACCCAGAGACTGGCTCAGGGCTCCCGTAATTCCGGTAGTATTAATCTGATAGTGCAGACAAGAAAGAGAAAAATCAAGATTAAAAACAATGTGCATAGCATGAATATGGTTTGCAAAGCAACTGAATAATTACTGACATCATCTCTTCTCTTTTCCCTCCTCTTCTCTTTTCCTCCTTCTTCCCCTCTCTTTCTCCCCCTCCTGCAGATGCATCCTCAGCAGCTGGTCGTCTCCTGGTTTTCCCTGGTTTTGCTGGCATCTCCCCTCATGGCCATATGGGAACTGGAGAAAAATGGTAACCAGGCTCTCCTTCTCTGTGGCGGCCCCGAAATCTAAGCCAGGACTTATCAGGCAGGCCCTGGGGGGAAATCAGCCCGAAAGGGGCAACCAGGCCTTGGGAGGTTCCTAGTGAGTGCCATCACTGGGAAAAGGCAGGCCGTCTGTACTTCCTTCACCTATGTCGTTTGGCTTCCATATTAGGGGCCAGAGTAGGAGCTTTTTGTGGGATGTGATAGGAAAGGCTATATGGACTTCACAAGTATTACTAAAACCAGCTGTATCATACAGTGAAAATTCCAAAGTGAAGGATTTGGAAAGATTAAGAACTACGTTCTCTCATCCCCCCCTCCACCGCACAGTATCACTCCCTCCGAGCACGGAGAGGACTCACCTCTGACCAAGCACTTTGGGGGAAGCATAGGATTTAGACTCACGTTGACTTGGGCTCAACAATCCAGCCATCTCCCCTCTGCCCAAGGAGAGTTTGAGAGTTTTAGACCCTCCCTTGAGCAAAGGCGAAGGCCTGAGCCAGATAATTATGACAGATCCCTTCCAACCCTGGGATTTTTGGTGAGCTCAGGAAGCTTGGCCCTTGCATAGTAAACCCCGAAGTTACTTCTAATTTGGTAAACCACCGAAATTCCAGCAAGTCAATGTGAGAAACAGAGGGCAGACGACTTTGGATGCAAGATGAGGAGATGAAGCCAGGCACTAGGTTCTGGATGCTCTTCCTCAGGCTCCCTCTTGCAGTTGTTGTCCCCTGCCCTTGGGTAAGGGCCTTCTAGGCCTTCTGAGTCTTAGTTGTGACAGGAAAAACAGCCTTGCTGTTCAGTTGCTGATGGAACAAAGAAAAACTAGAGAAAGCCAAAGGAGCCACGTGGTTTTATGTCAGCATAGCGAATCATTTCCAAAGAGTTGGGTCCCAAACGCTTTTTTAGCTCACGTCTTTGTTACCCATTCAGTAGTTATAAATCCCTCTGATGTAAGAACTTTATGTCCCATAGTGCTTTACATCTGGATGCCAACAATAAGGGTCACCATTTATAGAGCATTTAGGGCACTATGTTAAGCTGTTGTATGAATTCGCTTGTATCATCCATGTCTCAACCTGCTGAAGCAAGCACTAATATTTTGTTCATTTTAAAAATGATGACACCGAAGCTTAGAGTAATTGAATGTCTTGCCTAAGGCCACAGGCAAGTGTAAGATGTAGAGCTGAATCTAAACTCAGACCCATGTGACTCCAATATCCAGGCTCTTAACCAGCGTGTCTCTCAAACTTGAGAGGGCATCAGAATCATCTGGAGAGCATACAAACCAGATCATTGGGCCCATCCCAAAGTTCCTGATTCAACAACTCAGATTTTGCTTTTCCCGCAGTTTCCTAGGTGTTGCTGCTGATGGTGATTCAGTGATCAGGCTTGGGGAACCATTACATTAAATGACTCTAGTTCGTTAGTAAGTGATGCATGAATGAAGCTGGGATGTGACGCACTCATCGCAGTACTCTTCTAGGCCATTCCTCAAGCGCCAGTTTAGATACTCAGGTTAGAGATCCAATGCCAAGCCAACAAGGCAGAAGGCCTGAAATTTCGGTCTTGTACTTCTAACTTGATGTAAGCTTGCTTAGCCTCTTGGTTTTGGCATGCTCCTCGATGAAATGGGAAGACCAGGATCTACTAAACTGCTTCATAAGAGTGTAAAACTGCTTAAACAAAATTGAATGAAAATCTCCATGGGTGAGTTAATTTATGCAGTAGGAACTAAATCCTCAAATGCCCATGGAAAATTATAGGGCAGTTTCTCTGTGCAGTCATTGGACCAAACTTTGGTCCAATAACCAACACTAAAAAAAAAAAAAAAAACCAACACTGAGTTTACAATGGTAAGCACCATGCTAAGTGCTTTATATGTTTTTTTAAATTTAATCCTCATAGCCAAACCTATGACATAGAGCTATTATTATCATTTTAGAGACGAGGAAACTGAGGCTCATGGTGATCTACTACCTTGTTCCAAATCCCCTAGCCAGTTAGTGGGGACAAGATCTCAGTGCTGGTCAGTCTTTCTTGACATCTCTGTGCCCTGCCTTATTTTCCACATAACTGAAATTGTACTGGAAGGTTCTTCTCTCCACCAGGCCTTTGGTAAAGAGTTTTGTGCTGTTCACATTTTTCTATTGTATCAAGGCCTTCCCCATCTGCCAGCGAATCAGAGGTCAATTATTAAAAACAGGCTGCCAGTTAATGACTCGATGGCAGCTATAAAACTTTGTTTATCTCTTCACGACCTTAAACCCAAGTAGGGCCCAGTGACCTGAGATCAATCATCTCAGCAAGCATTTGCTGTCACGAGCAAGGTTGTGCTCAGGAGGGCAGATGCACAGGTGGCTCATAAATCCCAGTCCCGGGGTTCCTGGAGCTTACAGTCCAGTTCTCCACTCCCTGTGCTCTCCAGTTTATGTCGTAGAGTTGGATTGGCACCCGGACGCACCCGGAGAAATGGTGGTCCTCACCTGCCATACCCCTGAAGAAGATGACATCACCTGGACCTCGGACCAGAGCAGTGAGGTCTTAGGCTCTGGTAAAACTCTGACCATCCAAGTCAAAGAATTTGGAGATGCTGGCCGGTATACCTGTCATAAAGGAGGCAAGGTTCTGAGCCATTCGCTCCTGCTGATTCACAAAAAGGAAGATGGAATTTGGTCCACTGATATCTTAAAGGAACAGAAAGGTAATTCCATTCGCTCAGAGGATGTCAATTTTCTCTTTTGCTCCATAAGAAATAAATTAAAAAATGTAAAAGGTTAAGACATGACTAGTGTAGTTAAGGAACTGATATCAAATCCCTTACTGAAACCACCCAGCACCTATGTTTTTCTTTGCTTTCTTAGATGCTTTGGGCACCATCCAGATCTCATGTTGAGAGATTTTCATGGTTGGTTTTCCTGAAGTTCTTTTTAAATGGCTAATGGAAATTAACCAACATGTATAGTGCATAACTCAGCACGGGGCAGCCGCCTCGAAAAATTTAATGCCTCCCCCTGATGTGTTAGGTGCATAGTATAGTCTGCAGAATCAGCAACCTATTGAGACCTTCTCAGTCCTCGCTGAACTGCCTGTCAGGGGAGCAGCATCATTTTCCAAGGGAATAAATGGAAGATCTTCATTCCTGTACGACTTGGTGGCCTGTGGTTCACCACAATTAAAATCTATCTGAAAGAAAACCTGCAAATATTGAATTTTTGTTCTTTTCAAATCCAGAATCCAAAAATAAGTTCTATCTAAAGTGTGAGGCAAAGAATTATTCTGGACATTTCACCTGCTGGTGGCTGACGGCAATCAATACTGACTTGAAATTCAGTGTCAAGAGCAGCAGAGGGTAAGTGAAACCACTCTGATTTCTCAGTATTTTGCTAGAACTATTTCATTAAGAAAATAAGGGCAACCTCGCCATGGCCTATCAGTTAATGATAAGGGAGAAAACAAAGTCAAACCTATATTTTTTCAACGCCCCCTCTTGCCTAAATTGGGGAAAGAACATGGAGATTTAAGCTAATCGCCTGAATAAATGTGTGGGTTAGAACAGGATATTATTGGGGCCTGGGAATAGCCTCTGCTGTGTTTGAACCCACTCATCCAGATTGGCTGGCAATGCTTCATTAAGGCTCATAGCATCACAGGGAGGGATAAAAGGAGAAATCAAAGCTACGAATGACTTGCCAAAATTGTACCTTGAGATGAAAATAGAAACAAGAGCTCCGGGGCATAGATCTTGAAAGCCCTGAAGCCAACTCCAAAATCCTGAGGCTTCTAGAAATTTTCCCAGAGCCACCTCAACTCCCTTTCCTTCTGCCGATGACACCACTAATCTGAAGTTCATTGTTTGTCCGATGTACTTGGACTTCCCCTAAGAAACCAGTTTCCATGGATACTGAACCTATGTTAGCAGGTCTGTGTGACTTCCCTCCCTCACCATCCAGGTTCCTGAACAAGGCAGGGCGACAGAGCACACCCCAGGTGATCGGCCTGGTCTGGCCACCATGTAACTGAGTACATTAACCTCTGGGGTCTCCCTTTTCCGTCTTGAAAATGAAAAGGCTTACTAAAGGAATGCTTGTACAAATGCACAGAGACACAGATACCAGTGCTCATTGTGATGTTTTTGGTAATCAGCAGGGGAAAAGTTAAATAAAGTGCAGCGCCTTATCCTCCAGCCTAACATGCAGCCATCAGAATGGATAACCCAGTCTGTGTGGTCTGTCATGGAGCACTCTCCATAAGTTCAGAGGGGGAAGAGATGGTTATAAACCACACACATATATATATAGTTGGGTCCTATTTAATGAAAAATAAAATCATTGTGAGTATATATATATATAGGCAAAATATGTGTGTATCCATATACATGTGGATATATGATTGCTTTGAATATTCATAGACAAAGGTCTGGAGGGATACAACAAGCTCTGAATAGTATTTCTGTTTGGGGAGTGAGATTAGGGTTAAAAGAGGCACACACATTTCATTTATGCACATTTTTATCTTTTTAATTTTTTATAATTAGCACATATGGATTTTGTCATTACAATGGGAAAAATGAATTTAAAATTTTAATAAGGAGATTTAACCAAGGGCTCTGGATCTAAACATTTCTGGATTCATTTAGGCCAGAGGCACAGACATGCAGAGTTGTCTCTAAATATTTGTACCACCTCTGTGGCAAAGCTTGTTCTCCTGGGGAGGGCAGCTTCTTGGCCCCTGTGGAGAAATCAAACCCGTTGGAGAAATTGTGTCCTCAAACGGCTGTCTGGCTCCAGCCACTGGGAACTGACCCACGAATGGGTGAGACACGAGGTAATGTCTGTCTTTGATTTCAGCTTCTCTGACCCCCAAGGGGTGACATGTGGAGCAGTGACACTCTCAGCAGAGAGGGTCAGAGTGGACAACAGGGATTATAAGAAGTACACGGTGGGGTGTCAGGAGGGCAGCACCTGCCCCGCGGCCGAGGAGAGCCTACCCATCGAGGTCGTGGTGGGTGCCATTCACAAGCTCAAGTATGAAAACTACACCAGCAGCTTCTTCATCAGGGACATCAGTGAGTCCTCTTAATTATATGTGCTTCATAAAGATAAATGCCATTTGTCACATGTCCACAATGCCCCATGCACCAAGGTAAGGGGTTTACACGCATTGTCTCTTTTATTCTGTAACCCCCAAAAGAGTTCAATGTAGATACTATTCTCTGCATTTTAAGGAAGAGAAAATTGAATCTCAGACAGGTTACGTAAGTTGCCCCGGATCTCACAGCTAGCAACTCAGACCCAGTTCTGCCCCATTGGGAAAAGCAGGCTCTTGGCTACCCTTCTATCTGCTGTCCAGACAGCTTCTGTGGTGAATCCAGCAGGACCCCCTCAGGCATAGCATTTTTATTCAGAACCAAGGTTTCCCTACTAATTGTAGTTATTCCCAGTGAGTCTTTCTCTAGCATTTGAAAAAAAAAAAAACTTCATTATTTTAATATAAGCCCCTCCAAAATGGACATCTATTTTTTTAATCAGCAGATGGAGATTTTGCCATTTGTCACTTCCTTTGCCATGTGTCCATTGAACGTTCATCATGAAATGAAATTCACAGAACCACAGAACTTGCTCGAGCATTTGTGGAGAAATTACTCTTGGCAGGTGGGGGGGCAGAGTTTGGGTTCACATAGGATGGCCAGGGAAGGTCTCTCTGAGGTGGTATTTAGCTGAGTTCTGAAGGAAAGAAGATGTCAGTTGTGTTAAGAACAGAGAGAAGAATATCTGAAAAGCGTCTACTGGGAGCCATGGTCTTTGGGCTTTGGACATTCCATAGAAAGTCTCCTCTGCCCTCATCTAGGCAAAGGTGTGCTACTTGAGGCCAGAGTCTTTGTGGTACTCGCTGCTCTATCCCCCAGTAGCTGGCGCATAGCTGGTGCTCACTCCGCACTTACTGAATGAATGAATGAGCAGAGAGACTATCTGACTTCAACTACCGCCAGATCCCATGACAAGACAACAGAACGGGGGCACCTGGGTGGCTCAGTTGGTTAAGCATCTGCCTTCGGCTCAGGTCCTGATCTCAGGGTCCTGGGATCGAGCCCCACATCGGGCTCCCTGCTTGGCGGGAAGCCTGCTTCTCCCTCTCCTACTCTCCCTGCTTGTGTTCCCTCTCTCGCTGTCTCTCTGTGTCAAATAAATTTAAAAAAACAAAAACAAAACAAGACTACAGAACGAGCACTGGGTGGAAAATCTCTCATCTCATCCCTAGCCAGAGGCTCAGCTCAGGTCCAAGTTTGGTGCCGAAAGGGGTACGCAGCACAGGGAGGGTGGTCCTTCCCCACCTAGCCCAGATGCGAGAGTCTTATTGTCTCTACGGAATTTCTTCTGAGCACGATGCCGAGACGGTTCCACTGCTGGGACTCATCGGCTTGTGCAGGGCTGAGAAGGATTCTGAGCCTCTCTCAGGTTCAGCCAGGGAGGAGGGGACAACTGGCGAGGACACCAGCGTGAGCACCGGCAGCGGGGGTGCCTCCTGCCTGCCAACCAGGTGCCCAGGGAAGCTAAGTAACTGTCCTGGGGACTCACGGCTGGTCAAAGGGGAAAGTGGGATCAGAAGGCAGAACTACCTTACACCAAAGCCCCCTGAGGAAAATAAAGGGTGTTTCTTTATCTTCTTCCAGTCAAACCGGACCCGCCCATGAACCTGCAGCTGAAACCACTACAAAATTCTCGGCATGTGGAGGTCAGCTGGGAATACCCCGACACCTGGAGCACCCCGCATTCCTACTTCTCCCTGACATTCTGCATACAGGGCCAGGGCAAGAACAATAGGGAAAAGGTAAGAGGTGACTCCAGGGCCATCTACCCAGGTTTATGCAGGCCCACAGCTAGGAGACGAGTGACGATAACAGTAGCTAACATCTATTTAGCACTTTCTCCTCGCCTCAGACTGCTTTAAGGGTTTTACATGGATGGATCACTTAATCCTTAACATAACCCTACAAAGGCAGGTGGTATTATCATCAACACTTCACTAGGGAAGACACTGAAGCTCAGAGAGGTTAAATGACTTGCCCAAAGTTACCCAGCTAGGAACGGTCAGAACCAGGAAGCCAGTCCAGTGGACACAAATTCCGTGTACCTAACCACAGCTGACCTCCAGTATGGGTGGTCATTAATTCTTGTGCTCAGAATTGGTCCTCACATAGGAAATCTGGGCTCCAGGAGCCTCAGATCATTATTTAATGTTTCAGTTTAGTGAGTAAATTGAATGATAGAACATGTGTGCTATGTCTCACCCCAAATGGATAATTCCCAGCTGTCCCACATACCGTGAAATGATTTTGAGCAGAATGTTAGTGCTTAGAGGCTAAGACGATGGCTTTCAAGCTTTCCTGCCTTGCCATCATAATCCCAAGTTCCAGAAGGCACTTTTATAAAGCCCAACACTCCTGGGACCCCGGTTTTAGAAATCACTGGATAAAGGCCTTATTCAGGATAGTGTTTAGCATTTGGTCGAAATTCAGCCATTCAGTCACTCCCTGAGAATTATTTTTTGTAGGGGGGAAGGGCTATTCTGGAGTAGACTTTACCTAAATATTATTTAAAATCTTGATATGTATCTTCCCTACATAAAATTTACATCATTAATAGGTAATATTTACTGAACACTTCCTATCGATTAAAGACTTGGCCAAGAGTTTTATGTGAGGATTACCTTTAACATTTCCACATCTATGAGATAGGAATAATTATTATCCCTCTTTTTATAAAGGATGAAACTGAGACACAGAGCCCAAAGCGTTTTCCTGTGGTCACACAGCTAAAAGTTAACAATACCTGGATTTCAGCACGTTTTCTTTTCTTTATTTTTTTTTAAGATTTTATTTATTTATTTGACAGAGAGATAGCAAGAACAGGAGCACAAGCAGGGGGAGTGGGAGAGGGAGAAGCAGGCTTCCCGTTGAGCAGGGAGCCCGATGTGGGGCTCGATCCCAGGACCCTGGGATCATGACCTGAGCCGAAGGCAGACGCTTAACCACTGAGCCACCCAGGTGCCCCTTCAGCATGTTTTCTGATAAAAGGATCAGGATATAGTATTTCAGAATATCCAGGGGACAGCTAGAACATATCTGCTTGTGTCCCACCATCAGCCTAGTACAGGGGTGAGTGTGCACGGGGCCTTCGGGCGAGGCAGCTCTTCTAGAAAGATGAAAGCTGGACCAAACCATCTCTCCCTCTGGGCTGAAATAGAAAAGCTGCATCTGTATTTAGAGCTTCTATCGGTAGGTGGAGCAAGTTCTACACAACTCCAGTGTTTATTTGCTACTGTGGTGCCCCCAAACCAAGGTGTGCTTGTTTGGGGAGATCAAGCTTTGCAGAAATATGCCCAGCCCCTCTTGTGACTGCATTGCCAACGACTTCCCTCTCCTTTGCAGAAAGAGAGACTCTGCGTGGACAAAACCTCAGCCAAGGTCACGTGCCACAAGGATGCCAAGATCCGCGTGCAAGCCCGAGACCGCTACTACAGCTCCTCCTGGAGTGACTGGGCATCTGTGTCCTGCAGTTAGGTGAGCAGGCCCCCAAAGCCCAGCCCACACCTGAACACTCAGTGTTCCCCGGGTGCCGGGCAGTGGTGGGGGGCAGTGCGGGAGAAGAAAGGGGAGATAGGGTGCCTGGCTCACAGTCACCAGAGTCAGAAAGATACCTTTGTTCATTAAACAGATATTATTTGATGCCCATAGTGTTCTGGGCATTATGCTGGGTACAGAGATACTGCAGTAAAGAAAACAGGCGTAGGTCCTGCCCTCCTGGAGGAGAAGGCAAAGAAGAGGGAGAGGGGAGAGGTAGCTAAGAGTCCGAGCAAGAATAGCTCGCAAGCTGTTTTCAGGAGTTAGAACCTTATCCTGGGCACCTGGGAGTGGGGGGAAGACACCAAAGGCAACCAAATCCTAGGCCACATAAGGACAGGCTGGGCCCTTCTGACATGGAATCCCCAAACCCAGTTGCCCCAGTCATGTGTCTGGTGAAATAAGGGTTTGTTGCCACATTTCTAATTCACAGAAACTGTTGGTATTCTTTTTCAGGTTCCAATCCCAGGATGAAACCTTGGAGGGAAAGTGGAAGATATTATGCAGAATTTTCTAAAGACTCAATAGAATAGGCCCCCAGAGTTATTTTCTACCTAATTTGCTTTTTGTAAAGGATCATTATCATGTCTTTGCAGTATTTTTACATTTACATGCCAAATGGCCACTGAAACAATCAGCTATTTTATTTATAGATTTTCCAGCTAGCAGGTTGCCACTGACCTTAATGCTATTTAAATATTTAAGTAATTTATGTATTTATTAATTTATTATTTTTATTGGACACTTGTGTGCCAAGATGTATTGTATGTTTCATACTCTCAGGACCTGATTTGTAAGGAAGAGGCCCTATTACGCAAAATGTGAATTTATGTGTTATTTACACTGGAAACTTCTCAAGCAAGACTGCAAGTATATGGATTTTATGACAACCAGTGAGAACACAATGTTCTGATGCCAGCACCATAATATATTTGTGATGGATGAGAACACAGAAGTAGTTAAATAGAGGCATGGAGACATGAATCCATTTGAGAAGGTTCTGGAGATGGAGATGTCAATTCCTATATCCATGAAGACTTCCTGGAGGTGGTGTTGATAAAGCAATTCAGGGCCACCTACCTGTACTTCTAAGCAAGTTTAGTTTTGGGCTGCCTGAATTTAGAAAGGGCTAAAAAAATAACTGAAGTTGAAATTCAGCTTCAGCCACCCTGGCAGTCCCTACCCCCATCTATCTGTAAGACATAGGAGAGGGACCCGGAGACAATGTAAGTGTCTGGAAAGTAAAAAGGTCTTATGATCCAGGAAGGAGAACCGGTAGGGCCAAGCACATAAAGCTGTCAGAATTGCCAGGTGCTCCTTAATAGCCAGGCAAAAAAAGCACAAAGATGCAAAGAAAATGATCAAGAATTGCTTACTCGTCAGCGTGAGCAAACCTGACCGGATGTGACCAGAAAGTGCCCACCACTAAGGTGCTACTTTTAAGTAATGAATATGCTTTCTGTAAAATGATTTCATTCGTTTTCTGTTTACTTGTTTTTACATTCTGACGATGAACTAATAAAAATATAACTCTTCTTTGCAATAATACTTTGGGCTTTCTCAGCTGACTCGAGGATCCTATTCCCACATTTACCAGGACTGCATTATTTTTCCCCTGCCATTTAAGAATTGCCCTTCTTTGAAGCAATTTCACTTCCAGTTTTGCAGAGTTGCCCTTTCCCTTTATAGGATTCCCAAAGTCAGTGTCTTGCTGAGCTCAGGGAATGTCCCTGTGGTCTGACTACAGGGAACTCTGCAAGGGCACCGAACTGCATTATGCCCTCTTTAGAGGTTGGATGCTCTTGCTCTGTTCACCTTCTAGCCTGCAATCAACTCTACTAGTTCCAGAACATCATGGAATAAAACTCCAACCTGGTCGAGTCATAAGCATCCCATCCCATAGGGCCAGATCCAGTGTTTATGGAGGGCTTGTCATATGTCTGGACATGTGCTAGCTCTTGAGGTTGAGGAGTTCCAGAAAATCTTGGGTGGCCTTCCTCCAAACAGTGCCCACTCCTGGCACAGCTTATAAGACAGGGATGAAAAGTTAACTGCAGTACCACTAAATGCTAAAATGTACGGTATATGGTGCCCTGGGGTAAGAACAAAGGAGAAGAATCAGTGTAACCTGGAGTTGCCCAGGAAGGCTCAATGGAGAAGGGGAGGTCAAAGAAAGGGCAGAGCCTGCCAATTCCTCTTCGGTGCCTCCCATGGAAAGAGCAAGTGGTGGGATCCGAGAGAATGGAGTCCATTCTCTACTATCTTCAATGGCCAAGTGAACATACTTGGGCTTCCTTGCAATGGCAAGATAATTATAATAGGGATGTTGTAAGTGTCCTTATTTGAAGTGACTCCTGGAGCCCTTACTCTACTCTGCTTCTGACCTGGAGGAACGGTGTGAAGATCCCGTCATCCTCATCCAACATTTGAAATCTATCATCTTGTATTATGAGCCCACACTTGATAGCATACGGTTGGTTAATAACAACTCTTTGTCCTCCTACAGGGCCTTTCATCTAGACATACCAAAACACTTAGTGGGCACTTAATGAACAACGCTAACCAAGAAAAAATAATTAATCACATTTATGAGTACAGAGACCAGGGGACCTTTCCCAAAACTTTTGGCCAGCAAAGGGCCGAGCTCAGATGTTCTGGCTCCCAACTGACATGACCTCTTAGCATCCGATTAATTTTAAGTTCAGCACATGCACTGAAGAGCTTTTGTCTTTGAAAGATATTCTCCAGGACAGTCCTTTTTTATGAGGCGTCTATCCACTACATATGTATCAAATGTTATAGCAGAAGAGCTCAAGACTGGGACTGCAGGAGACTCGTTCTGGCCAGCCCGGCTACATGACCGTGTGACCTTCAGCAGGACACCAAACACAGCCTGCTTGTTGTCCCATCACTACTCCCTCTCAACTTCTTTCTCTCCCAGTGACCCTCCTGAGCTCTAGGTTTGGGAAGCTACGTAATCACTTTTCTAGCCACGCTGGCTGCCCAGCAAGGCCATGAGACCTAGTTCCAGCCCATGACACCTAAGAAAATTCTGCTGGCGTTCTCTTGAGAAAAGACAGAGCCAGGGCGAGCATCACCCGTTCCCTCCTTCCTCTCTTGAGCAGATGAAATTGAAGAAGTCTCAGAGGAAACCCTGCAACCAGAATGGAAACCATCATGCTGAGACTATAAAAAGACTCTGGGACCCTAGCAACAACAAGAAGCTGAACCAACCCCTGTAACTACCCCAGCCTTCTTGTGTTAAAAAGAGAAACCCATGTGTGTGGTTTTTCAGATGGTGGTAGAAAACACATGAGAGAAAATGTACCATTTTTGTCACTTTTAGGTGTCGAATTCCGTGGCATCCGCTACATTCAAATTGTTCTGCGACCGTCACCACCAGCCATCTCTAGAATGTTCTCTTCTTCCCAAGCAGACTCTGTACCCATTAAGCAATAACCCCTCCCATGTTTGTTTTCAAAACAGGAAATAACTAAAGTGAAAATTAAATAAAGATATTCTCTTCAACATCTAGATCCCGTCTCTGAAAGGCAGGCTGGCACTGGTAGGAACTGGTGTCAGAACACCTGGGTCTGCCCCTCACAGAACATCTGGTATAACCCCTTGGGGAGCCCTGGAGCCATATCCAATGATGCCATGTGGGGTCCTGGTAACACCCTGCCTGTCTGAAGAAAGGGAACCATGGTCAGGAAGATTGTGCCGAGGGCAGTCTGAGCCTGAGCAGGACTAAGCTGGGGCGGGGTGGGAGGGGCGGGGGGGGCTCGGGGAAGCAGCTCCCATGGGAAAGACACGTTTGCTGTTCCTTCATGCACTCCACAATGTTTTTCTGAGTAATTGTGCTGTCCCTGGCACCATCCTCAACTTTCTGGATACAAGGCTAAACAAGACCCTGCTCTCCCACTGCTTCTGGTCTCCAAGGGATGAAATGCTTGAAATTCTAAGCAGTGAAGGTCACTTCTTGAGGGTTAAGAGCTCTATAAAATGAGATCATCAGTTTAATGGGATTAGCACGGTACCTGGCCCACAGTAAGCACTCAGTGAGTGGTGGCTGTTTCCACTGACTAGCTCTGTGATCTTGAGCAAATTACTTAACCTCTTCAAGCCTCAGTTTTCTCATCTGTAAAATGGGATAATAACAGTAACCACTTCACAGAGTGATTGTGAGGATTAATGGAATAACCCTGAGAAAGTGCTTATCGAAATCCCTGATTCATAATAAGTACTCAATAAAAGCTGATGGCTAATATTCTTATTATATTACCTATAACCTGAAAAAAATAATAATTTGGGACCCTATGCTTTTGTGGGGGTAGGGACATGGAGGGATCATTGTTAGGAGGTCATGGTGTGTCTCAGAAGGTGAATTGGGATGGAGGAAGCATTAATTGGTCAATGAAGAGATCATCAAGCCCTTCAACGTAGAATCCCTTTCTTATAAATAAAATTGCAGAAACATCCCTACATGGGGGATACCAAGATGCAATGAACCCAATTCCTGCCTTCAGGGATTGCACAGTCTGAAAGGGGCAAACATGGTGAATACATATTTTAAAATATAGCCAGGCTGGGATAAGAGTATGTGCATCCTAAATATTTCTTTTTACAAAGGTTTTCAGCTCCCAGGAAGAGACTTTTCATTTCCTTTAGCCTTCCTGGATGCAATAATTTGGCATAAACCTACCAATTCACCTTGCCTATAAATCAGATTTTAATCATCTCTTTCCATTTCATTGCAGTTTGGCTCCTCTTCTTGGACAGCATTTGTGAGCAAAATGCATTTGGACAAGACTTTCTCCATAGAGCCATATTATAACCAAGGAAATGAATTCCCTCTCTCAGGCTCATAAAATGCAAAAATAAAATCAGCATTCGGGCTGAGGGCAGAGGAAACCAGGCGCGCATACTGAAAACCCTCCTTC